AAAAAAAAAAAAAAAAAAAGTCTTGCTACAGATTCCAAATAACTGGTGACTGCTAGGGAAGACTGTGATAACACTGAGAACTGTAAAACTTAACCTGTGTGTCATTAGCACATTCTTGCAGTATACTGCACGTCATAATTTTTCTTTTGAGAAAGTGAGAACATAGAACTAAAAATTTCCAGGGTGTTTTCTTATTCTCTGATCTATGCATCATTATCAATAAATGAGAGAAAGTTATCATATTTTGTAGTTGCCTTCTAAGTTACAAATATTTCCATCTTATATTATTTGTGTTTAGAAAAACCTTGGACAATATTGAGGAGGTAATAACATTTAAAATATTCCCTGTAACTTTCCCTTTTTGATGTTTCAATCCATTGGTTTATTTGAATGACTCTTTCTGTTTGCATCATTCATCGATTTGCTCAGTAGATGAGTCTCACGTATCTCCTTTGTGCCCGGCACGCTGCTTGGCTGTTGCGATGCGATGTTGAACGTGGTACACGATGATCGCCTCTGTCATTTAGCCAGGTGGGGGACAGATAAGCCAGGTGCTGGGTGTGGGTGTGTGCTGAGGAAGTGTCCTGTGGAACACCAGGTGAACACAAGGGGGCGAATGCTGACCTCAGACTTGGAGCAGGTTGGAAAACTTCCTGGAGGAACTGCTGTTTAAGCAGCGACTGAAGCAGGAGTGCAAAGGAGAGATGGGAAAGGAGAGAGATATAATACTTCTTTAAAAAAAAAACATGCCAGGGGGTGCTTCTGCAGAGAGAGAGAGAGAGAGAGAGAGAAAGAGAGAGAGAGAGAGAGAGAGAGAGAGAGAAAGAAAGAATGCTCCCCATCGGGCCTGATCTCACTGCAGTCTGCTTTTCTCCATTCCTCTGGTCCCATCAAGATCCTTGGGCATGTGCACACATGCACCTGGTGTGTTTTTCAAGCCGCCAGGGTCAGGACTCCAACCACACACAGCCATGTGGGATTCAGCGTCGCCCACATAGCACTTAACCAGCTTGGCTCAAGAATGTATTTGTGAGGGGCTGGAAGAAGTATATTGTGTCTAGTGCTCTTGTTACAGAAGACAGAGACACACATGGGCTCCAGAATAAGGGTTAGATAGAGAGGTGGCCTATCCATGGAGTTTGACTGGAAGGGCTTAGACAGTAAAAGAGCATTTTCCTTCCCCATTTTAGAATGAGCATGCAGGTACAATGTGGAGGAGAAATGGAGGAAAAAGATCAGTTTGGAGCCTGGTACAGTAGTCTAGTGTAACTCACCGACAGTGGGGATATAGAGGATTGGACAGATTGAGAGAAATCAAGAAGGCAGACTCGGAAACACTTCATAGTTACCTAGATGTGGATTCCTCCTGTGGAGGACAGACTCCAGAGAGTTGTGTTTACAGGTCACGTATCTGGGTGGGTGGTGGTGTTACTACCTAACGTAAGTGATGGAGAAGGAGTTGGTTTGGGAGGAAAATGTGGAATTTAGTTTGGGCGTCTGTGACACATCTAAGTATCCAGTAGACAGTTGGATGTAGGAGTCTAAAGATCAGGACCAAGAGGGGCCAGCAGGTGGTGTGGTGGTTAAAGGCATTGGACATAGCTCACCACGGTTCAAATCTTGGACCTGGCAGCTTGCTTTCTCTCTGTCTCTCTCTGGCTTGCTCTGGTAAAATTTTAAAAAATGAAATAAAATACAGGAAATGATTCTTAAAAAAACAAAAAACAAAAAACAATCAGGACAAAGAGTGAACCTGGAGTTACAGATTTGGGCTTCCCTCCTCCTGCCT